ATACCCTCTCTTTTTCTCACCAGCCTTGGGGTACCTATAGCACTTTATCTGTGCTTTTGGCATAGCATCCAGCTCTGACCTAGCACTTAGCAAATGCTCTGTCTTCAGCAGGTGTCTGTTGAGTGAAGAGACGAAGGCAGGCAGGCGAAGGGCAAGTAGGAAGTAGCAGGTAAGTAATAAAGTAAGTTGAAACCTTTTTCGTCTTTGCACATGAGCTACTGGCATTTTTAAAAGATGAGAGTTGAGCAAATAACTTATTTTTTATCTAAAAGACGGCTCTAGGTGCTGGTCAGGGTGGGAAGCTCAGCCGGCCTTCCTAGTTGACGTTTCCCCCTCACTGACCATCTGTCAGGGTCCAGTGAACTATTTCAGTTACTTTCCTCCTGAGATGACAGTGTGGATTTGGAGGACTAGGAGAGTACTTGCAGGGGACCCGCTCCTGCCAGGGATCAAGTTCAAGAGAGACTGAAAGGAGTCTGAGTTGAGGAAGGAAGGAAGGAAGGAAGGAAAGAAGGAAGGAAGGAAGGAAGGAAGGAAGGAAGGAAGGAAGGAAGGAAGGAAGGAAGGAAGGAAGGAAGGAAGGAAAAAGGAACAGAGACAGAAGAAAAGTTTGTTAGTGAGGGACCAGTAGGCAGGTAAGGGCTCTCATTATATACCTACCAATTATATATCTGCTATTACTGTGTTAGTTGCTGAGATTGCAAAGTACAAGACACATTTCTAGGGAATGGAATCAGGTAGATGACTAAAAAGTATGAAGCACTAATTATCTGTTCAGCACTGGCATACATGTTTTAAGGTATATCTCAAGAAAGAAATATTCTCCAAGGAAACTGAAGTACAGAGAGGGTAATAAACGTTCTCCAGGTCACTCAGCAAACAAGCAGAACTAGGAGAAGAAGCCAGGTCGAAGTGGCTCTCGTGGCCTTGTGCTGCTCAGAGGACTGTGGGCAAGGGCATCAGGCAATCATGCCAAAGAGAATTAACTTTGCAAGGTGTCCAGGTTCAGTGCCACATGAGTAACAGAGAATGATTGTGCAGGAATCTGGAAGAAAGGAGCTGTATGGAAGCCTCAGATAGAAGGGGGAACTTTGCAGAAGAAGAAGGCGCTCGACTAGATGCTGATGGCAATAAGAGAAAAATGGAGGGAGAGGCTTTCCAGGTAGATAGAGTCATATTATGAGCAAAAGTAGGAGATGGGAGGTGGGAGGTGGGAAAATTCTCACCTTCTGGTTTGTGTTATGCAGTGTGGAATACTGGAGAGAACCGGTTCTAAATTCACTCACAGTGCAGCTGTAGGCCTGTCACCTAATTTCCCTAAGCCTCAGTTTCCCTATCTGTACAATGGTTGTGATAATAGCCACTTCACAGGGTTATTGAAGACTGAGACAATGTATTCAAAGTAACCGTTTCCACAAAATCACCAATCTAAGTTACACCTCAATCTAAATCATATTCTCTGTCTCATAGTATTCTATTTCCCTTCCTGCTTGCAATGGAATCAATTATATATCTGTGTGCTTATTTATTGAATGTTTGTTTCATGACTGTAAATTTCATAAGGACATGAACAATATTTGTTCTTCTCAACACCATCTCTTTAGTGTCTAGAGCAGTAGGCCCTCAGTAAGTCTTTTTTCAATGAATGAATAAATAAATGTACAAATGAATAAATGAATTCATGAATAAATGGACCCCTATACCTATTTCTGTGCCATGACTCTAAGAGTCTCAGGGAAATTGTGTCTTTTCTCTGGTGAGGGGGCAGGTTGCTAGAGCAGGAAAAGCCTTCTGAGAATGGAGGTAGAGAACCACACGACCTCCATGGGTCATCAGAGAGAGCATCAGGTCTCCTGTCTGCCTCCTGGAGTTGCATGTAACTGTCTCCGAGCCGAGAGAAAATTACACAAACTTGCAGTTCAGCTGGTTCCAGAGTTTCACAACTCAGCTCTTTCTGTTTAGCTCAGATCTGATGTGCTGCTTCACTTGTGTGACTTGTGATGTGCCGAGTGAAAAATGACTCTGCATGATCCCAGGCTGCCCCGCTATAACTCTGAGTGAATGTCTAGACTTTCCAATAATAAAGTCTTCTAATCTAGAGCAACACAATAACCCTTCTAGTAGAGTGGGGAGGAGGAAAGGGGCAAAACAGATGCACTAATAATTACTAGGCATTTGATGGATGCGTTCTATGAGTTCCATGATAGAAGAAAGCACAGAGTACTGAAGGGTATAGTGAAGGCCATATAGTCCTGCCCTAGGTGAAGTAATGTAAATAGTTATGTAACATTTATAATTTTCAGAAATATGATTATATATATATATATATATATATATAATCTCATATTAGTCTCCCTGCAGCCATAACAAGTGGGAAAGTACAAATAAGATTTGCATTGCTATTTGTTTCTAATATATAGGGAAAGTGAGGCAACTGGGGATAGTCCAGAATATAGAGCTGGTGTCAGTTGCAGATAGGAACTCTCTGCCCAGATCTCAGGATCATCAGTTTAGTTATCTTTCTCTTAGACTGTACTGTCATGCACTGGCCTTTATATTGGTCAACAGTGTGAGCATGACTGCATTGTCACAATCCTCCTATCTTCTACAATGTAATTCCAATGCTCTTTTGTGATGGAACATCAGAATTTAATAAATTAAGGCTAGGCAAGTGAAGGTCCATGGGCCACAATGGCCCATTGAGTGCTTTTGTAACTAAAGTTATATTGAAACATAGTCAGACCCACTCACTTACTCTTATCTATGGTTGTTTTTGCATTACAAAAGCACAATCATTGTTTTACTCTGTGTACCATTTTTAAAAATATTTGTTTTTTTATTGATTTTTTAGAGAGAGAGATAGAAACATCAGTGTGAGACAGAAACATCAATCGGCTGCCTCCTGCATGCCCCACACGGGGGTTGAGCCCACAATTCTCAGTCCATGGGAAGACGCTCAATCCACTGAGCCACACTGGCTAGGCCTCATGTGCCTTTCATTTTCAAGGTCCTCTTATGGTCCAAGCTGGCTGCTGGCACTCCAGCCCCTGTGCTGTTGTTGCTACTACTACTATTGATAGTATGATAATTAGAGAAAACAAACAAAAAATTAAATACAAAAAGCCTGGAAATAGAGACATCCATAAAGACCAGGCAGAATTAATTCAAATCTAGCCAAGATGAGACCTCCTGCCATAGTTACTGAGGCAACCAGCATTTTTCATTTATTTTATCCCTGGGGCACACTGAGGAAGACCTGGAAACCATCTTATCTGTATTTGGCATCTAACACTTCACAAAGCATTTCCATATCTATTACTTCATTTGCTCTTCACAATACTCTGGAAAGGTAAGATGAAGAGGTCTTATCATTATTTCTGCTGCACACTACAATTCACACAGGTGCTAAGTAACCAGATTCCAGTACCTTCTAGCTTCCCAAAGAGGGTTGGTCTTTGGATATTTGTTAGAAATGAAAGAGAACAATCGTTGCATAGAAGAAAGAAAATGATCCCGAACCAGGACTCCTAGCAGATGCCGCTGTCTCACCAAGCCAGTGCCCTCACCTGTAAGACAAGAGATGAGAGCATCTGTTGACCTCTGGGGTGGTTATGAGGGTAGCAGTCAGTGACTATAATGCACAGGGCACATAGGCCAGGTCAATAAAATCGCTGTTATTTCCTGGGCTTACCTCTCCTACCTGGTGAGACCTTGGAAAGATACTTCCCTTCCCTGGGCACCAGTTAACTTTTCTTGGAAAACAAAGGGCTTGGACTAAGCGATTTGCTAGGCTATCTTCTGAATCTTGAGTCCCGTCAGCCTGGGAACTTGCCTTTTTGAAGGCCACAGCTCAGATAAGAGCTCAGGTTGGAATTCTCCTTCCGGTCACGAGCCAGCTGCGTGTTTCAGTACAGGCTGAACACGTGTCTGACCCTCTGCATCTGTAAGATGGGGTCCAAGTGTGCCTAGCTTATTGGAAAGGCAAGGATTGTGAGGATGAAATGAGGTAGGTGTGTCTAGATTGTATCTTTTTTTCTTTTTCTTTTTCTTTTTTATTGATTGTAGAGAGAGGGAGAGAGAGATAGAAACATCCATGACAGAGAACATCCATTGACCGCCTCCTGCATGCCTCCCACTGGGGATCTGGCCCACAACCTGGGCATGTGTCCTGACCGGGAATCGAACCCAGCGACCTCTTGGTGCAGGAGATGATGCTCAACCACTGAGCCATACCGGCTGGACCAGATTGTACCAGATTGTAACTTCTTAAAGGCAGGGACAATTCTATTTTGTGGATTTAAAGACTGTGACACCACTTCAGAGGGTTGGCCGCAGGATTAGATGAGTTAATTCATGTAAAGTATCAGGAACAAGACCTAGCACGAAGTAAACATTCAACAAATATTTTTATTATCATTTTAGATCTTCCTACAACAGTCCAAGTTGTTCAATAAAGGGTTGAGAAGTGGTTATAAGACACACATGTGACACACACGGAGAGTTTGCGTGGGTGACTTCCGTGAAATGAGCCCCCAGAGCGGGAAGTTCCCCGCTGGGGCGAACGAAGCCCGGTAGTGTCTTTAAGGACCGCGGGTCAGGAGTTGCTCCAGCGCAGTTGCGCACCTACCAGCTGGCCCCGCCCCAGGCGGCGAGCTGACTGCACAGGCCAATCCGGCCCTGTTCAAAGGGCCAATCGGGGGGCACTTTACGGGGGCCGCGGCAGGCCGGGGGCGGGGCGGGGCGGGGCGGGGCCGCAGTGGCCGCCGGGGACCGCCCAGTCCCGTCGTGCGGCTCCACCTGGCAACTTGCAGAGCCCCGCTCTCTAAAGTGTAGTGTCAGATTGGACAAGTAAGTGACCCTCCTCTCAGGCCCACGTGTGCACCAGGTTTTGCAGACGCGCAGCGCTACGCTATCCAATCGGAGAGCGCACCCGTCTGAAGCCTCCCTCCCTTTTCCTGCGGTCACCACCTCCTCTTCCTCTTTCTCCGCCGGCTGCTCGAGTCTCATTCCAGCCGGGCCTTGGCTCCGGAGACGTTGTTGGTCCCCTGTGTCCTCTCCTGGGTGAGGCGTCCGGCCACTCAGCGGGAGGGTCGACCTTTACTGCATCCCCAGGGCTGCCCCTGAGATGTCTGGAACCCGAGGTCCTCTGCCATCACTGTCCAGTTAACTAGGTTCACTTCCTCTCTTCCCTTCAGCCCCTCGGTCCCGCATTGTAGGACCTGTTCCCAGGCATTTTTGAGCCTTAGAATTCAACTCTGGCTATCTAAGGCATTTGAAGGCCAGTGCTGCTTGTAACTTGCAAGCTTTCAGCAGCTTGTGATAATGTTGAGGTGCAGTGTAGTGTAAACGGTGTAATGCTGTTTGGTTAGTTTTCCTGGGTAGGTAAGTCCTCGGGGGAATCTTTCCATATTTATTCATTTCCCTTCTTTTCAGGGACGTACAAGATGCAAAAGTATGAATTTCCTTAATCGTTGGCTATTTTTCACCGAAGCACTTCACTTGTCTTACTTAACTCATTTCAGCCCTGAATTAAAGTGTCAGTCATTACCAAGAAATGGAAGAGCCAGACATTATTTGTTTGATTTGTTTGGCGGGAGGAAGTGATCATGCTTTTGAATTGCTAATCCTCTCTTAGTATGTGGCTGTTATTTAGATGGTAGAGTTTTGCTTTGTTTTCCTTGCTTTTCCTCATTTCCCATAAGCCACCATGTGCATCTCCTGATTTTTTACTTTTGAAGTTGCCAGCTGGGTTTTTCAGCCTTGTGACTGCCTCCTCGTCTTCTGGGAGTCTCCTGTTAATGAGGTCCTCTGCTTGGCTCTTGACCTGATGACCACTGGCCTGGCCCTGGGAGGGACCAGATGAGGAGGACCTCCTAGTGGGCAGCTCAGAGGACTGTTATTAAGAATGATTGGGATGGGGGGGGGGGGGGGCAGACCAGAGCGGGTGAGAAGGGCCTGGAGATTGATTCCAGGGGAGGAAAGGTTGGGAGCCTCTGTGCCTGGATTTGGATGCCAGAACATGTGTATTGGGAGAAGGGAATTACCCAGAGGGTGGAGGCCTGTGTCTCTCTAGATGAAATTAAGTTTTTTGGGAGGAGACTAGGCCTTCTTCCAGACTATGTTAATCTTTGCTGTGGGTCTTGTCCTTTCCTGGAATCTGGTTCCCTTTCCTTAACCTTTCACTGATTTCAGATCACAGTCAATTACCAGCTGGGTTTGAAAACAATTTGAGGTAATGAATCTTGCCCTTAAACTCCCAGCCAGAGTGTGACCCCCCCCCCTTCCCAGGGGATTTGATATCATTATTTTATCAGAGTGCACTGTGGAGATCATTTCACCTCTCACCTGCCCATATTTTTATATGGTGGGATATGAAATGAACCCAGGTGGTGTAAGAGGAGGTCATCAAAACCAGTGCTTCACTTCATTCGTTGTTGGCACTAATCTTGTGGCAGGTGTGTGTCTGGCACTGTGGTGGACTCTGGGAAAGTAAAACAAGACTGGGTCTCTGCTTTCATCCAGTCTGCTTCTGACTAGTCTGATGAGGGAGATCATATGATAGTGAGATTAGTGCTGTGGCAAGGTATGCAGAAGATGCTCAGGAGTTGAGAGAAAAGCACAAATATGTTGGTTTTTAAAATATATAATATATATATATATATATTTTAGATAGAGAGATAGAAACATGAATATGAGAGAGAAGCATCCATCGGCTGCCTCCTGCACACCCTCCAGTGGGGATCGAGCCCACAACTGGGCATGTGCCCTGACTGGGAATCAAACCGGGACCTCTCAATCCATGGGAGATGCTCAGTCCACTGAGCCACACCAGCTGGGCACAGTATAGGGTTCTGAGGAAAACTTCACAGAGGTAATAATAACGAAGCTGAATGACAAAGCTTCAATATGAGTGGGCTGGAGAAAGACAAAGGGGAAAGGATTATATTTGGTTTGGAAACAGCATGTGCAAAACTGTAAACCTGGCACATTGTTGATTAATATGGCTCATCAGGAAAGGGTGAGGTGGGAAATCACCAGAAAGGAGGCTGGGGCTGGGATGGGTGGAAGGACCAGAACAGGGAGGGTCAGGTGAATCATGTTAAGAAAATTTGAAATATGTCTCCCCTGTTTTAGAAAGTTAATTCTGCCTGCAGGGTGAAGACTGGAGAAAGTCTATTATAATACAGGTGAGAAATGGGTTATGGTAACAGTTATGAAACTGAAGAGGGATTAGAAGAACAGAATGGTTAGGAATTAATTAACAATTGGATGTAGGCGATGAAGAAAGAATGTGGCAGTCAAAGTATCTTGGGGAAAAGAGGGCATTTTTAACTGGGGCATTTTTGAACAGCTTTATTAAGGTCTACTTGACATTCAGTAAACTACATATTTAGAGTGTCTAATTTGAGAATTTTTGACATAAGTGTATATCCATGAAACCATCACAATTAAGATAAAGAATATTTCTAATACCCCCAGCAATTTCTTGTGCCCCTCCCTCCCTAGTGCCACCCTTTCCCCAAAGCAACCAGTGATCAGCTTTCTGTCATCACAGATTATTTAAGATTTTTCAGGACTTTATCTGTAGGGTCATACAATATGTATCTTTTCTTGTGTGGTGACTTTTGCTTAATCATCTTGATTTTCATCCATGTTGTATGTGCATACATGGTTCATTTCATTTTCTTAACTGTCTTTTGACGAGCAGAGTTCTTAATTTTGGTAAAGTCTAGTTTATCAGTTTGTAATTTTGATGATGTCTATTTTATCAGTTTATTTTTTTATGGATGATGGTTTTGGTGTTGTATCTAAGAAGTCATGCCTAGCCTGAGGTCTCCAATATTTTCTCCTATTTTTTTTTTAAGAAGAAGCTATATTGTTTTTTGGTTTTATTGGTTTTACATTAAATCCACAATCTATTTTAAGTTAATTTAAGTTAATCTGTAGCACCAGATGTGGAACAAAGTTTATTTTTATTTTTATTTTTTGCAGATGGTATCCGTTGTTCCAAAAAGCCTATCCTTTCCCCATTAACGTGCCTTTGCACCTTTGATCAATATCAGTTTGCCATGTATATAGGTGGGCCTATTTCTGGTTGTTTTATTCTGTTCTGTAGATCTTTTTATTTTGTTGTCAATACCACATAGTCTTGATGACTATAGTTTTGTAATAAGTATTCAAGTCAGACGATATAAATCCTTCAACCTTGTTCTTTATAAAAGTTGTTTTGTTCATTCTACATCTGTTAACATTCCACATTAATTTTACAGTCATTTTGTCAATTTCAAAATAAAGTCCTGCTTAAATTTTAATTAGACTTTTATTGAATCTATACATTAATTTGGGGGAAAACTGACATCATAAATATTGAGTCTTCTGACCCATGGACACAGTATATTTTTTTATTTATTTAGGTCTTCATTTCAACAATGTTTTGTAGCTTTCAGTAGATAGGTCTTGCACATTTTTGTCAGATTATCTGTAAGTATTTCATAATTTTTCACGTTATTGAAAATGATATGTCTTTTAAAATTTCAATTTCCAAGTACAGTGATACCTCGGTTCTCGAACATAATTCGTTCCAGGAGGACGGTCGAGAACCGAATTGTTCGAGAACCGAAGCAATGAATCCCAATAGGAAAGCGTGACTCCACAAAGCGTGACTCTCTCTCTGCACTCACACTGATGACGCAAGCAAGGCGCGCTGGGCCGAATGAACGCCATTCGGCTCAACTCGGCTCATCTCGGAAGTTCGAGTTCCAAATATTTGTTCGGATTCTGAGACAAAAGTTTCTCGAATCTCCTGGTCGAATACCGATTTGGTCGAAAACCGAGGCGTTCGAGAACCGAGGTATCACTGTATTGCTACTTATGTATTGATCATGTATTCTACAATCTTGGTGAACTACTTAGTTCTAATAGCTTTTCTGTAGATGCTATCAGATTTTTTTATGTATGTGATGATGTTATCAGTAAATAAAGACAGTTTTACTTTTTTCCTTTCCATGAGGATGCCTTTTATTTCTTTTTCTTGCTATAGTGCACTGGCTAGAAGTATTAAAACATTTCTTATTTTTATTGACTTTTTAGAGAGAGGAAGGGAGACAGAGACAGAGAGAAACCCTGATTTATTGATCCACTTATTTATGCATTCATTGGTTGATTCTTATATGTGCCCTGACCTGGGATTGAACCCTCAACCTTGTCATATTGGGATGATGCTCTAACCAACTCTGCTATCCAGCCAGGGCCTGGCTAGAAGCATTTATTTTTTTCATCATTAACAATGATATGTGATGTTAGTTGTATATTCTTTGTGGAAGCCCTTTATCAGATTTAGGAAGTTACATTCTATTCCTGCTTTCCTCACAGGAAGTGTTTTTGGTTATTTGTTTTTAAATGAAGAATGGATGTTGCATTTTTGTTAGTTTCTTTTTTCTGTAACTATTGAGATCACTTTTTAATTCTTAAAATGATGAAGTACATTCACTGATTTTTTTTTTGTATATTAAACTGAACTTGTATTCCTGAGAGAAATTCACTAGGTCAGGACCTATTATCCTTTTTATATTTTGTTGGATTTTATTTGGTAAAATTTTAAGAATTTTTGCAGCTTTGTTAATAATGGACATTGATTTATAGTTTTCCTTGTATTCAGTTTTGATGTCAAGATAATTCTGGTCTCATAGAATGAATTGAGAAGCATTTCCTTTTCTTCAATTTTCTGAAAATGTTTGTGTAGAATTCATATTATTTCTACCTTAAATGATTGACAGAATTTTCTTGGGGGGAGGGAGAAGTCAATTGTTTTAATAATATAGGGCTATTCAGATTGTTTCTTTTTGAATGAAGTTTGATAGTTTGTGTATTTTAAGGTATTTGTACAAATCACCTAAATAGCTCATACTATTCTCCCATTATCATTTAATATCTTCAGAATTTGTTGTGATTTCATATCTCTCATTTCTAATATTGGTTATTTATGATTTACTCTTTTTAAAAAATATTTTTTTCTTTATTGATTTTAGATAGAGAGGAAGGGTGAAGGAGAGATAGAAACA